CGTCATCTCGCTTCCAGACAATCAAACCATGGCTGGGTTCCTTTTCGCTGGCGATTTTCCTGACCAGGTTGATATTCAGCGTCTGTTGACACCATTGGATGGTCTTGCAAAAAGTGCTCAGCAGTGGAGCCAGCGCAAGAACTTTGAAGATCCTCTGAGAGCACAAGCTTTGAAAATGATGAAGTCCGTTTTGGTTCAGCTCCACACTTCCAGCTACTTTTGTGGTGCGTATGATATGCTTGCTGGCAGAGTCTTGCTGTGCCTTCAAGGTGCCAGGTTGGTTGCTGGCCTCCCCATCAGGGCCCTTTTTCATATCTACCAAAAGTGCCAAGGCCAAGCAGTACCGACAATCGCTCAACTGGCTAGCTGGATGAAAACCAGTTGTTCCCTTGAACACTTTGTCGAGCACGGGTTCTACGTTCTACTCCAGGAATCTGCAGTCTTGGTTGTGCCACCTGGCTTCTTCATCGTTGAGCTTTCCTTGGGCGTGGATGCAGTTACACTGTCTTATCCAGTGATGCCACTCCATGAGCACTATGAGGAAGGCCTTTCCCAGAGAGTTGAAGATGTCCACAAGCTTTGGCACAGTTCTGCCGACGGGTTTACAAGCATCTTGCCGCCAGATGCTGCTTCATCTATCAAAGAGCGCGTGAATGCACTACAGGACCTCTTGTGCATTAGAGCAATCAAGCAGCAAAAGAAGAATGAGTCCGAATCAGAATCTTCCAAGACGGCTTCAGTGGCTGTGCGATCTTCAAACAATGCTGATGCTGCTGCTGCTAAGCCAAAGACCATTGCTCTACAACCAGCACAAAAAGACCTCCAGAATCTTTACAACGAAACATTGCAAAGGCTGAACGGGATGGAGGGTAGTCACCTCAAGTCTTTGGTTGAGAAAGCTTGTGTCCATCCATTGCTTTCGGAATACAAGGCTAGTGTGATAGCTGATGATCCCGGCTTGGAAGAAGAATGGTCCTTTGGGCAAGATGATGGGCTAACAGATCTCGCTGATTTTTGTCACTTTCTACGGAAGAAGGGGCTCAACGCTGAACTGTTGCTCTCACCGCCAATGGTAGAGCCAACTGAACCCAAGCCCAATGCTTTTGCCGCAGCTGCCTCGGGGCATCCTGCTCCACAACCAAAAGAGCTTGAGGAGTTTTTCAACCAGACCATGCAACGGCTTGCAAAACTTGATGAGCATCAAATCAAGTGTTTGGTTGGCACGGCTCTTACCCACCCTTTGGTGTCTGAATTTGAAGCTGCTGTGCTAGCCGATGATCCAAACTTGTCAGAATGGCATTTCGGAGAAAATGATCCCATGACAGATCTTGCATGTTTCTGCAATTTCCTTCGGAAGAAGGGATTGGATCCTAAGGGATTACTTGAGCTGCAGCCGCTGCAGCCACAGTCCCAAAAACAACAGTCCCAAAGAATGGGGGGGCTCAGAATCACAGCAAGGCCGGCAAGACACACTGACACTGCAAAAACGAATGAGCAAAACACACAGCAAACAACGGGCATGCCAGCAACAAATGCAGCAAAACATACCGGCTGTCCCAACACACCTGACACCAGCACAAACACTGCAGAAACAACAGCAGCAAGAACAAATGTTGCGCAAGCAGAAGCAAAAACATCTTCAGCGGAAGCTATAGCGGTTGAGCAGCTGCAATATATGCAACAACAAGAACAAAAACAAACATTTTCAGCTGAAACACACATGGTTTCAGATGCAGCAGCAGCACCAACAGCAACCACAACTGCAACCGAAGGAGAGCCGGCAGCAGAAGCATATTCAGACAAAGCATTACCAGATGAGCGGCCACAAGAAACTCAAGATCGGCAACAACAAGGACCAGAA